TTTTTCTATCTTTTAAGTTTTAACCACCCGTTCTACTGAAAATTGAACTGCCTACTCTTATTGGGAGTGGAACAACGAATATAATTGAGCAGAAAATTTCATCAATAAATAAATTCATAAATGGTGTTTACATCATGAACTCCAAGTACCTCACCATAGAGCAGTGATAAATTTCATAAACAGTGAAGATGAGTACGATCACAAGAATTTCCAAATGCAACAACACAAGAACAAGTCTTGGAAGTTCATTTATTTGCATATAAATATACAATATTCTTTTTACATAATTTAGTACTCTCTCCGTCCCACAAAAATAGTTCACATTGAGTTTTAAATTTTATAATATTTTCAGTACAAATTTGAAAACTCAATGTGAACTATTTTTTTTTGGAACGAAAGTAATATATGATAAAATGTAATGTAATAGTATATGTAGTTCGAATAAATATACAGGTAGAGCTCTATATTATGAGCTGCTGATTAGGAGGAAATAAACAACCTATCCAGAGTAGCTAGATGCATAGTGGTGCGTAATGAGACGGTTCTGTTAGTTCTTTACAAATAAAACAAAGGGTGTTGTTATTGCCAAAATATAAATTAGCATCCAAAACATATTATTGCTTATGTGACAAAATTATCCCTATCTAAGTCAAACCTAACTTCCTCTTCTTTTTTTCTTTTTTTTTTCTTTCTTTCTTTCCAACCCTTTTGCTTGCCTATATATTATTTTATTTTGTTTTGAGAATTCCTACAGAATAAAGCCGTGATGGATGCTTTAATCAATCTATAAATATATATGATGCTGTGGTATAGATCTATTCTTATAATAAACCAACTTGCATTAACTGTGCATTTTAGTAACTAATCAATGGTGGATCATGGATTTCAGTATCAAGAGAAACGTTGATGTTTTTTGGTCTCCATTTGTACATACCTTTTTTTTTAAAAAAAATACTCCCTCCGATCCCATAAAAATAGTGCAGTTTAACAAAAAATATTGTCCTAAAAAATACTAGTGTGCTTTCAAAAGAGTCAAAATTAAAATAGGTGAAATGACTTAACCGCCCTTGCTGATAAATTCTGAGATTCAATCGGCCACACGTGGCACCATAACAGCCTCCTCTTCTTGCTCCTCATCTCCAGCGCCGCCTGCAATGCCCCGCAATAGCTTGCCGGAGCTATAATTGCTGGAAGAAATAGTACCTGAACCAATGCTCTCAACGGCGGCCGATGCTATAGTTCTCCCTGAAATCCATTGATGCGCCTATAGATTAAACAATAAGTTTTCAAATAATTTAAGGAAGTAAATTATTTGAAACAATTTCAATAAAAAAAACTACTTACTTGCTCAGGCAAAGAGACGGTCTGATCCAACAAGTGGCCTACGGGTTGAAACCATAAGAAATGGGACTTTTCTTGGGCAGTCGATCCGTCTTAATTGATAAGATGCCAAGTATCAATGGGGAGAAACTTAACCTATCAGAATTCTTCTGGAACCGTCGATCAATTTTCCGACGACCATCACCGCCGCCGACGTCATACTACTGCTGTCTCGACTTGGATCCGGCCGAAAAAAAATCTATGTTCCAATACTTGCTGGACATCGAGGAAATAATAAAATAATAACTGGAATCAGATTTGGTAATTAAATGATCGGGGTAAAATTGGAAGTTTACAGGATAATAATGAATTGTACTTTAATGTGGTTGACCAAATTGAAAGAGTTGTACATTTTGAAATTGGACTATTTTTTTGGGACGGAGGGAGTAAACAAAAATGGTATACTCCCTCCATCTCATAGTTATTGTCTAGTTTGAGTTTTCATTTCTAGTTCAAATTGTACTAAAAATAAAATCTCAAATTGGACAATAATTTTGGAATACAGGGAGTATACTTCTATACATTAGCCCATTATAGATAAGTGGAAAACTGATTAGTAATAGTTGTACCACCATTCAGACTCGTCTCTTTAATCCGCCTCAAAAATCATATTTATTGAACTAATGATTGAATGGACACTTCGAAGAGGATGACACTTTTATTTTTTCGACGGAGGAAGGCAGTGGTTAAACGTACGATTCTTCTTCCATGAATGCGTCTCTCTCTCTCTCTTTAAGCATTTTGGGTCATATGTTATTGAAGTTGTATACTTAAAAATTGGCTAGCTGTAAAATAAAAGTAGCATATGGATTATGATGGAGTTATGGACCATAGCGTAGCTACAATGGCATAACATGTGCTTCCAAAAGACCGAAAACTTTGCCAGAAGCAGCCGCAAATTTGCAACTTTTCAGGGGAAGACTGAAGCTAAACCTTAAAATTAGACTATTACTCTAATAGTACTAGACTACTAGTTATAAATACAGGGGTTTGACTTGATTTGCAACTCTTTTTCATTTTTATGGTTTTTTTTTTTTTTTTTTGGCTCTAAAAGAGTGGGCATTCATACTGGGTGGAAAATAATAGTGCACGAATAGATAAATCAGGGGGAGTTAGTAATCTAATAAAGAGGCATGGGGAGAGAACATGCATAGAGACTGTGGAGATTGACTTGACCATTTACTTATATCAGATGGAAGCATGTTCTGGAGTTGCAGAGCTTTCTTCGCCGAAAATGGTGTTGTAATAATGCTTAAGTTTTAACTATTGTATATATTTTCTCCTTACATTTCAATAATTTAATTTATTATCTGTTGAACAAAAATGGGACGAAATGAGTAATGATTTAATAAAGTTGTGTGATTTGGATGTGTCTTGCTTGGCTGCTGTCTACTATACAGAGTAAACCATCTCAAAGTTAGTTGGTCTGTCCACCATACAGAATTACCATTAATATAACATGGCAGTCACGTTCAGGTACCTTTTCCAAATTAGTAGTACATTACATTAGCCAATTGCCGCAATAAGCTTGGTGAAACTTTTAGGATTTGTTTGTTAGGTTTTTTATATGGTATTTTTAAAATATTTAAATAATAACTGTCACATCCCAGTATAATTTTTTATATTTTCAATACATTTTTTTATATTTTTAATTAAAAAAATACTTAAAAACATACACTAAAAAAACGAAACAAACATATTATAATTAGTGATCTGAGTCGTTTTTGAACCCTCACAAATGAATGTAAGAGGCAACTAAAAATGAAATCATTGGTGAAGCTGAGTTGGAATTTATTTACAGAGACATATATTTCATTAATTCAAAATTTATAATATTGTTTTAGTATTTTTGTATAACCTCCTTTGTGTGACTCATAAGTTGTAACGAATAAGAAATATCCATATGTGAGCTCTTTATTTCATGACAAGGGGTTTAGTAAACACAATTGGTTAGAAGAAGAGCACTTGATTGACCAGCAAATCAGCAAATACATCCAAAAGCTAGCTGGTTATGGCCTATGGGGGGTGAATTTGAGAATAAGGGATGCGCTGAAAATCTGTTTAATATTGTGGCACGATTGACTAGAGTCAAACAGGAATAACGCCAAATTAACATTCTTCCCCTCCACTAATTGAGGTCCGAATCTTTTTATATGAGAAAAATCAGAGGTTGCATTTAAAATCTTCCTCCATTTGGAAGTATAAGGTTGATGTGGGAATAGAACTGAACATCCTCAATTTATGGAGCTTGAATTACCTAATTAGAGATTTGGTGAAAAGAAATTTCTTGGTCTTTTGGTGGTTTACTTGTGAGGAGATATATAAATCCAAAACTAAAGTAGTCTGTATTTCGGTTTTAGCTCGATAATTTAGTCTTTGAACTTAAATTACTAAGGAAATGAAAAAAAAAAAAACTCTAAAGAACAAAGACTTTATTCAAGAAGAAGAGTCATTCTTTAGTGTTTCCTTCCTTAATGCCCATCATCGTTTTTATACACGAAAACAAAACCAATCTTGTATCATTTTCATCTTATCTTGGTCAAAACATCCTCATCCGTAACAATAATAAAAACAAAAAATTTAAATAAAACTCTAAAGCTACCTTGACCAATACACCTTTGATTTAATTTTCCCTTCCTCCTCACTCCAAATATTTCAAGTGGACATCTTCCTGTATAATTCCTACTTTGAACACTAGTTCCCATCACTCCATGGACCTAAATGGATTTGAAAAACGCAATAACCATATATATATATATTTAAAAAAACACTCTTATTTTGAGACGAAAAAATAATTGTAAGTTATAACCCATTTTTCAAACACGCAGTTTTGCAGCCAAAACTAACAAGTGTAAAGCTAGATATACATAATGTTACTCCCACTGTCTCATATTTATTGTCCAGTTTGAGATTTCACTATCACTACAACTTGAACTGGAAATCAATAATTATGAGACGGATGGAGTACCACTCTTAAATTTTGCTAAAACTTGGAATAAATAACGATTACAACAAAAAGTCTAATCAAGGTCAAAGACTCAAACGATCAACTTCTCCATCACGACCCCAATCAATGTATAAGTAGTATACTCCCATCTTCTTCTCTGCAGGTCCCCATCAATTTTTTTATGTCACATAGTCACAGCTAATCGCCTAAATGGCACTAATCCATTGCCCCAAATTGCTAAAAATTGCTAATATCACCCGACCCCTCATTATCCTTGACATATCACCAAAAAAACTGACCAAAATTAATTCACCCACTTGTGAAAATTATGCATTTCCCACCTTGTAGGCTAATAGCCCGAGACAAAGAAAAGTCTTCATCTGGTCTTGGAAGAAAATGACACATTTAATACACTTACTATTTGAATCCATTTTGTTTTTAAGTTTTAACCTGTTAGTAGTTGATCTTCTTAACCTGTTAGTAGTAGATCATTTTTAAAAGTAATGATTTGAGTGCTAGATATTAATGAATGAAATCCTAATATAATAGAGAAAACAACTGAACATATAGTACGTGTAGATATATAATAATAACTTAAAAATAAAAGTGAAAAGATGAAGTATTGTTATTATTATATTTTTTTAAGAAAAAAAAAATCACAAAGGGACAAAAATGCCATTTTACTCGCGTCCTTAACCCTGATCCTTGTGAAGTAGTAGTAGCAATGGACAAACCCACAAGAAAAAAAAAAACATAAAAAGAAGCAGCCAAACGACAAAGACCTCAAACAGAAAAAGGTTCCCAAAACCCCTCAATTCAAAACTCAACCCGCTGCTGCTTCTCTTCCCCCTTTGCCTCCTCCTCCTCCGTTCAAGTGGGCTCCATGGAGAACTATTCTTATCCGGCGTCTTATCCCGATTCCGGCGATTCCTCGCCCCGGTCACGCGAAATTGAGTTCGATAACCCGCCTCCATGGGAGGACCCACAGAACCCTCAATCCTCCCTCAACTACAAGGTGAAATTCATGTGTAGCTACGGCGGCAAAATCCAACCCCGCCCCCATGATAATCAGTTGTCTTATATGGGCGGCGAGACTAAGATTTTAGCCGTCGATCGTACTATTAAATTCTCCTCCCTGGTTTCGAAGCTCTCGGCTCTGTGTGAAAGCGACGGCGTTGCTTTCAAATACCAGTTGCCCGGCGAGGATCTCGATGCCTTGATCTCCGTGACAAACGACGATGACCTTGAACACATGATGCACGAGTATGATCGCCTCTTTAGGGGCACTCCCAAGCCGGCCCGATTGAGGCTGTTTCTGTTTCCGGTGAACCCTAATCCCCTGCCTCCCCCGACTGTGGTTAGGAATTTTGGCTCTGATGAGACAATTAAGTCTGAAAAGGAAAGGTTTGTGGAGGCTTTGAATTCTGGCCCAATTCAGGCGTCTCTCCCGCCGTCAATGGTGGCGCCGCCTCCGCCTCAGGCTGGAAATGTTGATTTCTTGTTTGGATTGGAGAAGGGCGGAGTTCAACCCCCCATGCAGCAGCAGCCGCCGGCGCCGGCGGCGCCGCCTGTGGCTGCTGTGAAACTGAGAGATCCGATTGCTGATCAGACCCTGCATGAGCACGAGGTTCCTGCTCCGGCCTTGGATGACAGGATGATCGGAGCAGATGCGATCCATAAGCACATTCAAGACCTTCAGAGATTGAGAATTGAGGAACATCAACAGCAGGGTATGTATAGGAGGACCAGCGACGAAAGCCTCCCCGGAGGGTACTCCGTCGGAGGCGGCGGTGAGTATTATGTCCAAAGGGCACCGGATAAGATTTCCCCGGTTAACGGCGTTCCCGGAACCATGCCTCCACAACCAGCCGGTTACTGGCCGGAGAAACAAGTCCCCGGCGGAGTGTTCCCGGCGAGTTCATATGGGACGGACCAGCCAGTGTACATGATCCCAGCTCCGGCAGGTGCTTATCACGGGCAGATGATTCGGCAGATGACTGGACCGGCAGGGCAGGGGTATTACACAATACAGAGGATGCCGGAATTTTACAGGGAACAGCAGCAACCACAGTATAATGGGACGCCACAAATGGGAACTCCGGTACAATCCGTTGCGGCGGCTCCGCCAAGCCTGCCCCACCAACCTCAGGCGAAGATTCCAGCTGGGTATTCAGAGAACTACGGGATGGTGAGACCGACGAGTGCGGGTGCCGTTGGGGTGACGGAAACGGGTTACCCGCAAATGGCGTATGACGGTGCAGGGAGACAGGTGTACTACACAGCAGGGCAAGGTGGGATGAGTGTAATGGGGGGCCCACCACAAGCACAAGCACCACCACAACAACAACAACAACAGCAAGTACAGTATCAGCAAACCATGGCTGCAGCTGCCGGTGCTGCTGATGTGAAAGCGCTAACTCAGGAAGCCGGTAAGGTTGTTCCAAAGGCTACGCAAAATTCCGTTTGAGAGGGGGAAAAAAAAAAAAAACAAAAATTACAGTCGTCTATAGTAGTGGTAATAATGCGGGTTGGACAAAAAAGTAGTATAAATTGCTTTGACCGAGACTTTTGCGTACTATATATTGCTAATATAATTTTCCCTTTCTTTTTTGCTCGCATAGTATTCTACTCTTTCTGTTCAGGCAATTTTCATTCTCATTAGTGATGTATTTACTTCTGTGATGTAAATTGGAGTGGAAATCAAATTGGGTTTTTTTTTAAGGAGGTGTATTTACTTCAGATTGATGCATACGTTGAGTTTAATTTGATGCTTTATGTATGTGTTTGGTTTTGAAATTATATCATAGCTAGCACTTTGGGCAATGAGTCCATGGACTTTGTTCATTGCTTTAAATCAATCTTTACATTTACAGCCTAGTTTTATAGTTGATAAGGGGAAGGGGGAAGGCGAAAGCCTGTTGCCTGAATTCAGAATCCTGCTTTACCTTATTTTTGTATAAGGCCAATGATGCATCTTCAAGGGATCAACATTGTAGATCACTCTTGTTGTTAAGGCTATTGGCCACAATGGGTTGTGGGGTACTAGTACTTATGGCTTGTGTGGTGCAATCTGTTTCTGGGTTTCAATTACTTTGCTGGAATCCTACTGTTTGTCCTAGAATGATGAGAGCCTACTCTGCCTCGCTTCTTCAAGCTAAAAGTAGCCAATATACTATTCTACGAAAGTAAAACATTTTTGATTATTGATCAAAAAAAAAAAAACAATTTTGATCATCTAAACCTTATCTACAGACAGGTGAGACAAGTTCCCCATTCATCCATTGCCATCAATCCTGTTGGACTTGTCCAAGGTTAGGGGTAATGATCAAGACATTGTGTTACTTGGGTCTTGACAGGTTTTCAGAGAATGTAATGCTGAGAGAATTTGCGATGATTAGCTTTCGTTTGCCTGGATTCTGTATTTCTAATGGGTAAATTGCAGAAGACCCTCATATATTTATTAGGAGAATCATTGTCATTGGGTGATCCCTGCAAACAAACAAGAAAGGGGCTTTAGGGAACATGCATGTTAAACTCTCCTAATTGGCTGTTAATTATGCTCAAGAAGCATGCACTATATAATTGTGTACATTTTGCTTTTGGCTGGGAATGGGATAAAATAAAGGAGGAAGGAAGCTTGACATATAATCCTGTCATCCATGTGAATCTATGAGTAGTTTTTGATTATCCAGTGCAATTGAAATGATTAGGAAGGAAGAATGCAGAGTGTGAAAAAAGACCATATGGATTCCCCCTTTGCATGTGTTTTGTCATACAGTGAGTAATACAACTGGATGGAAGCTAGCTTCAGCAATCAACCAAAACATGGCACATTGCTACTGCTGTACGTTGCCAAGCTGTATTTTTTTTTAACTATTATTATTTAAAGGACACAGCAGCACTGCTAAATTTTACTGAATTTTTTAAGTAACGCACGATGTGCTCTCAATGTAAAACTGCAGTACTATGATAGTATATATTATGTTGACAATTATTAAGAGTTGATTTTATGTAATGGATGGTGATTAGGCCACAAAGCCACATTTCTAGTTTTCCGAGTTTGTTTCTGAACCCAAAATGAGAGTAGCGTTTTCAGTACAACAAATTTAATTCGGATGCATAAATCGATCTTATTCCCTTGAAATTTTGCGCTTGTTAATTGTGTTTCTTTATTACACTTCTTTAGACCCCAAAAACCTTTGTTTAGTCCTTGGAGGGACCTTTGGAAGATTTTTTTTTTTTTTTTACAAAGACATTAAATTAGATTTAGATATTTGGAACAAAGTGACGTGATACCAGTAAGCAGAAGCAATTGGGAACTTTGCAAGTTGGAGTTGTTTCGTACAGATGGAAGTATTCCAATAGAAGCAACACAAATTGATATTACTAAAGGGGCCCCCCCAGGCAATATCATCTTTTGGTTCAAGTTTCGGCCCTTTTTTTTAATTTTGTTCTCCCCTCCTTTTTGCCGTATGCAGTCTGTATTATGATTACTTTAGTTCATCAGCTCGAATTTATTTCACAAGGGAAGAAAAGGAATTCGTAGTTGTAAAATACTACCAGTCTATCACTGCCACCGGATGCAACCACTCATGAACTCATTCAATCAAAGTTGAGTTCAGCGTCCCATCAAATAATCACGCCGTACTATAAGATATTTTGATTTGCATTTAGATTTAATCTATACGGATTTTTAATTTTAATTGAAAAAAAAACCTCTCACTATGAGTAAAAAAAAAAACCTCTCTCACTCGCAGGGTCCTATTCTGATTCGTTTGCGTAATCATATTATTTTGTCTACTTGTTTGGTGATTGATCTCGCAATTTTACGTTTCCCAAATGTTTTACAATTTTTAAAATACCATTATCCTTCTTGACTTCCACTTCTTCAACACCATTATCTTTGTTTGTAATTTTTAAAAATTTTTTCTTTCTTTTTGGTAGAGGAAACTCGTAGGATGGTGCTTCTCCTATATATGTTCATACCAGACAGATTGACAGTGACCTTCTCTTCCCGGGGAGTATTAGATTTAGTGATTTACTCATTTACTGAATTCCGGAAATATTCAGTACCGTACACTACTTTTTATGTACAAGTCTGGATAAAACTTCATTATTAGAAGCTATTAACTTTATTTTAATTTACATTTTGTAAAACAAAAGAAGCAATTTATTTTTAGAAAATAAAACTTATTATTATTTGCATTAGAACTATTGGCTTTATTTTAATTTACCTTTTGTTGCATGGAAAACATGGGTATGTAGTATTAACCCATCGCCTTGGAGAATCCCCTCAATTGTAGTAGTTTATCTTTAAAAAAAAAAATTTGTAGTAGTTTTTATCCAATGTTTTTATAAATATATATATATCCTACTATATTAGAAATAAAAACCTCCCTTTCAAACACTTCCTATAATTGCCACGTGACATGAAGAAAGTACTAAATTGTCCTTTTGTCTAACCATAACTAAATTACTAAATCTCCCTTTGCACTTTACGTAACACGTTTTTTTTTTTAATTTTTTCTTTATGTTTCATTCAATTAGAATGGTTTCCTTTTCTTAATTATGGAGTTTAAATTGAATTGATCAATTAAGTTTTTGTTACAAAGTGTCAATTTTATTTTAAGCGTACACCCCTTGGATGAAACTTATTACAAAGTTATTAAAAATCTCCAAAACTAACTATAGACAGGGCCAGAGTCGCGCATTGCGCGACCAGACATCACTAGTGTATATATATATATATATATATATATATATATATATATATGAAGGAAGCATGAGCTTAAGATTTACAAAACATCCCTATAAAGGCGGGATGATTATAGACTATCAATAACTATCTTGTCCTTAATATTGGCAGGAGGTGTTGGCAAAATATGGTTTCCAAAAGGGCATATAATAGATAGCCCAAATTTTGCCATTGTTTGATCAAGTTTTACATAGAGCTTGGGTTAGCTTGTGTCTCGTAACAAAAAGCTATAACCAATTGTGATTTTGGGCCAACTTATCTAAAATTGACTCATAAGATTTGGGTCATTTTTGGGCATGATAATTTTCAGAGTGAACTGTGAATGGACCCTTAATAAAATGAGTTAAAAGTAGCCAGCTTTTTTTTTTTTTTTTTCCGTCATAAACAATCTAGAATGAGGTAATTATAGCGGCTAAAAGGTGGATAAAACCATAAAAGGGGATTAGGAACAATAGTTTTCTTGTGAATTCGCCGTGCCTTTGTTTTCTCTCTATATCTCTCTCTTCTTTTTCTTTCTCTCTTCTTTTTTTGTTCAAAAAGAAAAAATAAAGTAGAAACATTAGTAATACAAGGATAACGTGTGGGGTAGGAAAACCGTGTGTATTTAAGGCCTTAAAGTCCCAATCAATCATCACACTTTCTGCACCCCCTTTCACCCATTCCATCCTCCTCATAGAATGGAGCGACTTCCACTTTCTATTGCTCTCTCAATAGTACTATTAAAATGTCGTGTAGATGAAAAGGTGGCAAAGTTATTTATCACATTCCACAAACTTTAGTACTCAATCAAGGATACTTAATGAACGAACAAGATCCATTATTTTGGTATTAAATGAAATAGTATGTGTTTCCTAATCGTGTGACATAAATTAACCAAAGATCAATGTTACGCAAAATTTAAAAAACCCCTAATCAGTCGCCGAATAATGAATTTCACCAATAGATGCATTGAAAATACCAATTTATCGCAAGTCACATGTACTTAGGAATTACTACTATGGTGTCAACTCCCTTAAGTATGGATTGATTCCGGCTGATCAACCGCTAATATGTTTGTTGTTTTTCCTTTTTTTTTTTTGGCTGATCTTACTGATGGATTTAATTTAACTAAACATGTATCCCTTGAAGGTATGATGAGAGTGGAAATTTCACCTAAGAGTGACCAATTATTGCCTAATTGATCTTCGTGCAACTTGTGGTATCCAACGTGCAATCTTGGTCACTTTCTTATTCCCGGCTACTCTTTTACGGAGTCTCTAAGCACCAATAATATATAAGCTATCTAAAATGTGGATTCGGGAACGTTCAAGTAAATGTCCCGTTTTCCAATAGTCTATATATATATATATGTAAGTGTATATGTCCACATCAGTAAACGTTTTAGATTTGTCTGCACTTCGTTTGTGCATCGCCAATTTTGTCTTCATGTAATCACATTCACTCATTATCAAAAAATTTCATGATTGTTGACTTCAAATGTTTCTAGAATTAATGGATCCCTTTTTCTTCTTCTTCCTCTTTTTAAGAATCCCAATTAAATTTCACATCAAGGTCCGAATTTATTATACCTTCTGATGGAATAAAGGAAATTTCATCGCAAGTGCTGAAATACTAAAAAGGGATGTTTTGGGAGGCCCTGTAAAGGAGAAGAACAAGCCCTTCAAATCAATGGCCTACTCCGGGGTCCTATTCTTTGAATGGAAGTAAAATGATGAATAAGAAAGGACTTTAATGGCGCCGCGTGTGCGCGTATACAGATTGGTTTTTATCCCTTTTTTCCTTTTCCATTTTTCTTCGTACGCTGATACACACTGTATAAGATGATGTTCCCTCGGAATGGTCTAAGAATTCGATGTCAACATCACGCGCTGTTTATGGAATTGATTTGATTTCACACCAATCCATGGTGTAAAATACTACATAATGCCGGCTCTCTTCTCTAGAGCTTTCCTTTTCCTCCGCAATTCTAAAGTGTGATTCTCTTTTCTTTTTCAGTAAGAATCCGATTCCTTACTCTGCTGAAAGTTTTTTTGGAGTCCCTCTATAAAAACCCAGTTTTTAGCTCATCCCAAAAGACAAAAAAAATCCCCTTCTGCATTCATAGTTTCCACTTCTCCATAGTCATTTATCCTCTGTTTGCTCAGTTGCTTGCTTACTGTGCTTTAATTAGAGATTTCTGGGTTCTGAACTTCTGATTCCGATTTCCAATCATGAATGAACCTCCGAAGTATGCTTATCCTTACCCTGCTCAAGGTAAATACATAGAAAAACTGCCTTAGTTTTCATCTGTTTTGCCTCTGGATAGTTTGCTCTGTTTCTGAAATGTTTAAAATTTCTGGGGCAGGTTATTATCAGGGTCCTCCCGTGATGGCACCGCCACAGTATCAATACGCTGCTCCTCCTCCGCCACCTGGGAGACAGACCGGATTTCTTGAGGGATGGTAAGTTTTGCTAGTATAAATTAATGACCCCTTCTCATCTTTTGATTCTTGCTTGTGGTTCTAGGAACTGAAGTTAATGACTCTAAAATATGTGAAACTGATTTTGATTTTTGGTTGTTTTGTTTGATGATTTCAGCCTGGCTGCTTTATGTTGCTGTTGTCTCCTGGACGAGTGCTGCTGTGATCCCTCAATTCTTTGTATTTGGTAGCCAGATCTGTTTCAGTTTCTCTGTTTTTAGTACTAGTAATTATTCCCAATCTGTTTCCTTGTAGAAATAGCGGTCTGTTGTTGTAAATAAATGTATTTCATTCTGCTTGTAATAATAACCAAAAATTCGTCTCTATTCCAAGGCCCACACTTCTTCTTTTTTCTCCTGTATTGTGCTCTGTTGTAGAAAGGGTTGATTATCTTGGTTACTACGCAACTCCTATTGGCAAAAGCTGTGATTGGGTTTTGAGTTTTTGTTCATGTGGAAAGCAATCATTTGGCCAACCTAATTGCACTACAGAAAGCAAAGTGCCATCTTGTTAGTTGTCGTCTCCTATGAAATCAGTTCCCACTCACTCACCGACATTTGCAATACAGAATCCTCCAACTTGTGATTAAAGTAATGTAATTGAAGAATCTATTTAGTTATCATACCACCTTTAAACGAAAGAAGGGAACAAAAGAATAGCCACCAATAAGGGTCTCACTTAGTTTATGCTTCATCGACAATTTTGGAATCCTTGGTTACCGACATGTCTACAAGGATGACACATGATTGAGGAGTAACTGGTAAGTTCAGTACTTGTGCATCGGATTCAGCAGTCAAGAGTTCAAGTCTAGTTGATGTCTTTCGGTAAATCATATTTTTTCCAGGATAAAAAACATTGAGCAAATCTAATGAGAACAGAACGCGGTACGGATTAGTCACTATTAGCACCGCTCGAATCTGCAAAAAAAAAAAAAAAAAAAAGAGAGAAAAAGAATGAATAAAATTATTGGTTAACCGTAAGCAACAATTATGTTTATGCTTCTGCATCTTCGCCTTTGCTTTTGATTAAAACCATCTGTTTTATAGTCAATCGAGCTAATCCAGAACACAAATGAAGAACGAGTTATTTAAAAGGCCCGACATAAATCCAGCCTAATACGTGGAGACAAGGAAAAGTTTAATAAATTACTCATTCAATAAACCTTGGATAGAGCTCAGAATTTGCTGGTGATGAAATTGTGATGAATCTAATGTGGGTGTGATGACAAAGATGGCATGAAAATCATACATAGTAGTATTCAATCTGGGTTTTACTGACAGAATGAAGTACCAAGTTCCAAAACCCAAGCATAAATGACGTTCGTGACTTGTTCCAGTGATTTCTAGGAATTCAGCCACTTTTTTGCAACATCGCCGCGTGTTCATAACCGGCCCAGATGTCACTATTTCAGACGGGGAACGATGGAAAATCCATAGCCAGCTGCCTTCATGGGTGATTTCTTCAGGAGCTGGGAACAAAAAAAAAACACGGCAAGTGACAGAAGATCAACAAAAACTTCCATATTCCATATATGATATATCCATAAATCAGGAGCACCTTTCCCGTTCTTCTCTTCTTCTTCTTCTCCTTTTGAGTTCTGAAGGGACAGAAGAAAAATTAAAAGTTGCCACTCGTTTTGCCTTTGGCCTTCCTTAAACTATCCGAAGTCAATCCTCAGATTCTATTTTGGTCCTGCCAAAGCATTTTCCTAGGAGTTTACTAATAAAGGCCTATGATGGGAAAACCGAAGCATGGTCATCCATATCCTGCTACAGGTACAGCACTAATCTCAAAAATTGAAAAAATCTTTCAGCTTTGTCTGTAAAAGTCAGTCAAATCATTCAGTGGTGTCAACTGTCAAACAAATGATCTGACCGACCCATGTAATAAAATTCGCAGGTTACTATGATCAGGGACCCCCTCCAGTGATGGCGCCTCCTGTGTATTATTCTGCACCTCCACCTAAACGCGGTGGATTTCTTCAAGCCTGGTATGCTGGATTTTCCTATATTTTTAAAGACAATTCGGGTTTGGTGGATCTGACCCCTTTTTGGTATTTTTATTCTCTTTTCAGCTTAGCAACATTATGTTGCTGTTGCCTGTTAGACGCTTGCTGTGACCCGTTCTGCTGTTTTCCTGTTTTCTAGCCGCCGGCCGGGCGAACCTATCTTTGCTGTCTGCCGGAATTGTCTCAGATTCAATAATCAACATTATGTTGTAAAAGTCGAATTTGTAACCTCATCCTCTGTTTCCTTTTTCTTTCTCTGTTTCATAATAAGTACACAAAGGCACAAAAATGTATGTATACATGGCATCTGATTTCAATAGCTTATCAGCAAAGTCAAATTGTGATTTGAGTTTTATCTGTTGGCTATTAATTAATTTATGATCAAAAGGGATTTATCTTCTTATGGAATTCTGAACATTACATGCTAAAATGATGCAGAGTTTATTACTCCCATAAGTAAACGCAACCTCTTTACTAGCTACTAACATTAACGTGTGATGCGGTTTTGGTTTTCTGATTGCCGTATCAGACAGGGAGACTGAAAATTTCCCCTTTCCGAAGATGCAAAATGGAAGTCACTATTATTAACTCATCTGGTAATCTGATACGTGGGATCACGTATTGGATCTGCCTTAGAGCCGCTTCTAAATTGTAATCAATCGGCACCATTAAGAAGGCACTGATTGAAATGAGTCAATTTTTTGTGGTTCTTTTTTGCGTGTCTGGAGTGATCTCGTAAGGCCTGCTTGTTGTTGTCTGGTCCTCGGGTTCCCCTGGATGAGAGCCTGACACGAATTTCTTTCTCAGATGTTCCAAAACTCCAGAACAAAGAACTATCAATAAAGTGACCTCAAAGGTTTGATGGATAATTCAAGATTGGATCTGCAATTTGTGAACAGGGCTGACTACACTAAACTCGTTCTAAGTATTTGAGGGTCTAAACAGATTTCAAATGTTTTCTCAAAAACGCAAAAAAGAGGGTTCACAAATCACAGCTTCATTGTGAGAGCACGTATAATTATATGTCAACAAAATTCTAGTGAATACAGGTCGGAAACACATCACTGACCGGGTGACTTACCTTAAAATTCCTGCGACGTCTTGATGTATGTTGCCCATCTGGGTAATTAACCAACTTGGAGGCTGGATGGATAGAGGAAATTGGGATTGACAGGAGATGTGAAGAAGAAAGTGATGATATATGGGGCAAATATGGATCTCCATGGTAATGGAGATGAGCTTCAAAAAGGCAAAAAAAGAAAAAAGAAAAAGGTAGGCCGGAGCCGGACTCACTGGAAGTCTGAGCAATTGGATTGATATGATGGGGAAATGGTCATCTTTTCATGTGTTTTAGATCTGGCTTTTAAATACCGCTTCCATTAATGGATTAAAATAAAGGGGAGATTTTCTTTCTTTCTTTTTTTTTTTTTTAATTTATACTACAATTTGGATTGGAAGATTCCATGGTTGAGTGCTCCCTGTTTCTGTTTTATAATGGTGTTTTTGTTTGCACATCCCACCAAACTGAAGCAAATTGGAGGAATTATATAAATGCAACTTACCATATGAGAGAGATGTGAATGTGATGCCAACTCTCTCTACTACTATATGACACCAACATTTAGGTTGTCAACTGTGGGGCACACACATGGGTATACCCAGTAAAAAGCTTCTCTCATTCACTGTTTTACTTTTATGTATTCATATTTTGATTCTTCATGCATTGCCCAATAATTTTACAAAAGAAAATCAATATAACAACACCCTCATTTTGAAACTATAGTAACTAAATAAAAGTGAACACTTTTTTTTTTTTGGGTAATAGGAAAGAAGTTTGGACGCAAGACACCAATTACCATTACTATTATTAATCTACACTACACTTAGAATGGTACATTGGTATGGTTATAGTAATTTGCAAAATTAATTTTGATTTTTTTAGATATATTAATTGCCATGTTTTTGCATATCAATTATAAGTTTCAATAAGAATCCCGGTACAGCACCTTGAACTCGTATCTTTTCACTCATTAAAGAGTATCGAGCTTATCTGAAAAAATAAAATTAATAAAAAAAAAATCTACATAACTACAACTTATACGAAACGATTTACTGTATTCTTTCCTTTTTTTTTTTTTGCCAAATTTACTCCGGATTGTCTATTATTATAATTTTTAAGATGAAGCCAATATCTGATTTATATGATGGAAATGTAAAAATATATTGTGAACGTGTATAAAGTAGATGAAAAATACATAAATATAAAAAGAAGAAATAAAAAAGCTAAACATTTTTTTACTAGAAGAAGAGAAGAGAAAAAGAAATTTACCGTGGTGGTCATAAATGAAAAGGAAAGCCAACACGTACGGCGTTCAATATAGTTCCCCCACAAGTCTGCACCTGGTTTTACCAAAATACCCCCTTTTAACTTTTGACGTGATCAATGCCTGACACGTCAACAGTTTCCCCACATGTGAATAGCGCGTTTCCCTTCAACTTCACGTCTTTATTTCCCCCCCGGCCCGGCCCGGCTCGTTCCCACGTCAGACTTTCCCTCCCTTTTTGGGCCCCCCAACCCCCAAAAAATTTCACCCGCCCCGCCTTCCCTCTCAAAACCCTAATAAAATTCTCGACACATGCGACCCAAATTCACTTTGAAAAACCGATGACGTACGCACCCCTCCTTTGTAGGGATCCTCTACATCCAACGGCTTTTGACTCATCCACGTGTCCACCTCCTACCATCTAGACCGTCCGTGCCAGAAATCCCGGTCACCGACCCCAGACAGCAAACAAACTCCTACTCACTGTCGGATCAACAATCCAACTAAAATCTACGGTCCAAGACCTGCCCGTAAATTTCACGGGCAGATCTCATCGCCTTTAAGAGGCCTCCCCCTCCCCCTCTCATTACTCGCTCAATCCATCCAAACCCTAGCCTTATACACAAGTCCGCCCCTTTTGTGGCAATCCTTAAACTTTTTTTTTTCTCTCTCCCTTGTTTGAGCAAACCCAGCTGGTAGATCTCTGTGCGGGTGGCCGGCGGTCGGAGAACGCTGACTGAAGGGCGATCTTTCTACAATCGGAAGCTGGATCGGGCGCGTGGAGCGTACGCTCTTGTAGATACATGATTTTCGCAACAATTCGAAGAGATCAAATCCACCGGAGAATCGCCGTACGCCGGTGCAATTCATGGCCTCCGCTGTGTTAGCAAGCGGCAATGAATCGAGCTGGGCACAATCTGGCAGCGGATTCATGATGGGGAAATTACCTTACTTGAGCCCTAACCCTAACCCCAAAAAGAAGCAGAAGCAATTTCACCAATCAGCCAACGGCGGCCGTAAGAACCACGATTTCTCTCCGGCCGTTACGCAGACGGCGTCTGACGACGCTTACTCCTTCAATCAGAAGCCGATTGCAGATGTCCATCGGAACGGATTCAACCATGTCGAATACATGACGTACAACGTCGCTTCCCTCACCAAAATCCAGTTGGCGGAGCTGAGGAAAAGGCTTGCGTCGGAGCTAGAACAGGTTCGGAACCTGAGGGATCGAATCCACTCAAGTCAATTTAGCGGCGGAAATCCCAATAATCTCAAATCGAAACCTAAGAAGCCCACAGGCATTACCAAAAGGCCAATTTCCTCTGGCTCAGGATCCAATAAAGACGCCAAGAGATTTACCAATGGAATCGATAAGGTTTCAATTGGAAACGGTGGTGGTCATAACGTTGATAATGAGGCCCTGACTGAATGCGGTAAGATACTGACCAAGCTTATGAGGCACAAGTTCTGCCGGATATTCAATACCCCTGTCGATGCAAAAGCCCTAGGGCTTCATGACTACCACCAGATTGTTAAGCGCCCAATGGATTTAGGCACTGTCAAATCCAATTTGTTGAAAAGTTTGTATCTTTCGCCTGCTGAATTTGCTGCAGACGTGAGATTGACTTTTGATAATGCCTTGTTGTATAACCCTAAAACAGATCAAGTCCATGGCTGGGCTGAGTTTCTGTATGCAAAATTTGAGGAGATGTTTAAGCCTATCCATGATAGAATCGCTAGTGAGAGGATAGAGGTCCTTGCTGGTGGAGGTGGCAGCGGTGGGTTTGGTGGATTGGCTGAGGAATTGCAAGGCAGTTCTTGGAACCACATTCCTACTCCTGAGAGACCGAAGAAGCAGAAAACAATCCCTACTCTTAATCAGACTCATTCTACTGCATCCACGCCATCTAATCCTCCACCACCTGTAATTGCACAGGAAGTTCATTCTCCTGTCCCCACTCCATCTCCAGTGAGGGCGGCTCCTGTAATTCCCCAACCGGGGGTGAGGGGAACAGTCGGGAAGCAGCCAAAACCAAGGGCTAGGGATACCAATAAGAGGGACATGAGTATTGAGGAAAAGCATAAACTTGGAGTTGGGCTGCAGAGCTTGCCTCAGGAGAAGATGCCTCAGCTTTTGCAGATTATACGGAAGCGGAATGAGCAATTGGCACAGGAAGGTGATGAGATTGAGCTGGACATTGAAGCCCTTGATACTGAGACACTTTGGGAGCTTGATCGGTTTGTTACTAACTGGAAGAAGATGGTCAGCAAAACTAAGAGGCAGGCTCTGATGAATAATAACAACACTCCAGCGGCTCAGCCTAGTAATTCTAATGTTGAAGCTGAAGGCGATGGGGTAAGATTTAGTGTTCTGTTGTTACATATGAATTGTTTAATGTTCTATCTATTTTTAATGTTTTCACTGTTGGTTTCTGTATTGTACTTACTCTGTTTTCAACAACAGGGCGATGCTAGTGATAGAAATGACTCAGCAAAGAAGCCTAGAAAGGGCGATGCTGGAGATGAGGATGTGGAGATTGACGATGATATGCCCGACACAAGCTTTCCTCCTGTGGAGATCGAGAAAGATGAAGGCGGTGTCCAAGATCATGGCAACAATGCCAGTAGTAGTTCAAGCAGTTCCGGCAGCTCAAGCAGTGAATCGTCTTCTTCTAGTGGTACAGATTCTTGTGTTACTTTTTAGGTTGACAGCCAAATTTGGATTGTTTGTATAGGATGCTTATAAGTTCGAGGTTCTTTACACAGATTCAGATTCAGGTAGTTCCTCTGGAAGTGATTCAGATGCGGATGATGCGCAATCTTGACACTGGTTGTTGAGGCCTTTCTGCTGATTTTTACAATTGGTGCTCTCCGTTGGCTTTTGTCCCTTCTGCATTGGTTATTTCACGAGAAGGTATATGTCCCCTGTGACTTCTGATGGAATGGATACTGTACCATTGATCATCCCTATGGAGTTCATACATTAGCTTCAGCTAAAGTGGTATGATGATCTTTCCTTTGCAGAGTTGGGAACAACTGAACACATGTTGCCGGCTGTTGCAGTTGGGAGAGGCGTGCCTTTAGCCATTAGGTGCAGAATATTGGGGGAAATGGGGAAATCTGTTTGTAGTTGTGACTTTGAAGTCTTTTTAACTTTAATTTTCAGATAGGAGTTGGGTTTGGGGATTAGGTTTGGTCCCCCAACGGCTGTTAGGAGATAGGGAGATCAGATATGTAGATAGATAGTTGAGAGAGAGAGACACCTGTGTACAGTTCTTACCGTAGCTAAAAATATCATAGCTTGATTTTTTCCCCCATCTTTTGCTTCCTTTTTTGGTTGTGGGGTTAAGAAGATATTTTGTGCGTTTTACAATTAAATCTCCGTGGTTTTTTTGTGTCTTCTGATCATTTAAGTGCCTTGTAGAGCACTGCCTCAAGGAGAACATGTCTGCGGTAAGTCATTTAAGAAATCAGATTTGGACAATGCTGAAGTGACATTGAGATAATGTCCCTCTCAATTAGATAACTGTTGCGTAGAGTTATTTGGTTGGAATACTGGGGAGCTTCGAACTTACTAGATTGTAGCCAGCAGTACTTACTAAGAAAGTGCAAATTACCTTGTTTATTCTGACTGGAAACTGGAAACTTCTATCTCATGGGGAAATACTGTTTGATCGAAGATGCAGTGGCGGAACCAGCCCAGCCAAATATTTACGGGTTGAGTACATATAAATTTTTTTCCTGATTTAAAATGTGTGCCGACCACCCTCGCTCCGGTTCCGTCCCTGCGAAGATGGGTTCTGTATATATAATGCAAGTTTTCCTTTCCTCCATATTTTATAAGGTGTCCGTTTCGACAACGACTAAATGTGTTAATATTACCTGACTCTGAAAGTTTAGAGGGGAATCTTTATTCTGAGGAGAAAAAGTAGAAAAGACAGTCGAAGAGGCCTTTTGTTTGTATCACAAGAATTGGTAAAATACTGGTTTAATTACTTACTCAAAGGAGTCGGTCAAGAACCATTGTCATTATTCCCGTAACATCCTAATTTTGTAAACACAAGTGGTTGGCCAAGAAAATAGCCACAATTTAGATACAAAGGTTGACCCCCAGAAAGGGTAAATAGACTGTCGAGCATAAGAAACTCTTTCAAGTGTATATTGCTCTTCCACTGTAACGACTCTCCACGAAATCAACATCGGAGTTTTAAACCATAGAAAAAAAATAGATTGACATCTAGGTTAAAAATATACCACCAAGTCCAGGCAATGAGGGAAACTGAACACATTCCTAAAGAAAAGATGATGAGAACATGGATGATGAGAAAAGATCATATCAAAGAAATCATCAAATTCCTAAAGAAATGCGGTGCACAACAGCACTCCAAAATCAACAATATTTTAAATCCCCTGTAACTGACACATACAATTAACAATGGCATCTCGAAATGAAAGAGCACCTCTATTGGAAAAAGAAGCAACCAAAGTGGTCTGTCTTCACCAACTTCTGGTTTTTACTAACAAGATAATAGTAGACCCTACTCCACTAATAAGATCTCACTACTTCTCAAAAGCAAGGAATACATCACCTAGATGGGATTGGCAGGCAGCACGAACGTCAGGTTCAATTGAATTGAGAAACAAGGGCATCAAGTTCTGACGGTTTAATATCTGGAAGACCTTGCCACAGGACTTGCGCACATCAGCCCTTCTTGATTGATCTTTTTCCATATTTGTCACCACATCCTTAATTAAGTGATATATTTGTGGAAGGTGATTCCTTAAAATATTCCTTGATGCATCAGTGCTGCCCTCATCAACATTATCCGTGAGCGATCTTAGTATCTCAATTACCATATCAAGAACATCAATTTGTAGAGACTCTAACTTTGCAAGACACTCTGACTTCGCATTAATACCTTTCTCCGGCACTCGCTTTGCATGAAACTCTGACTTTGCACCAATACCTTTCTCCAGCACTACACCCAATAGAGAACCCAATGACTCAAGAAACAACGCCATCAAATTTTGATTCTGTAATATCTGGAAAACTTTGGCGCAGAACTTCCGCAAATCGGCCCTTCTTGAATGCTTTTCAGGCATATTTGTGACCAACTCCTTCATGAAGTCATATATTTGTGGAAGGTGATTCCTTAAATTCTCGTTACCAGCATCAACGGTAACCGTGTATGATCTCAGTACCTCAGCTATCAGATCAAGAGCTTCAACTCGTCGAAACTCTGACTTTGCTCCACAGCATTTCTCCAACAGGTAACCCAATAGATTATGCCCAATCCAGGTTCGTCTTCGGAATATCTCTTTCAAAAACTCGGATTTCATTTGATTCTTCTTACTGTCGAAATAAGAGTTTAAGATACCTTTAAAAATCTCTAAAACCCCTTGAAGTTCAACTACTGAGAAACTTCTCGCGTCCATAACTTTTAGAATCCAAAGTGTTGATTCCTTTCCGAGTGTATTGATCATCTTGTGCCAATCCCGAGATGCTAATTGCTTCTTACTCAATGAACCGAGAGGTAAATTATTTTTCTTCAATGGTTTTGCTGCCAGCTTCAAATTTTTTCCCAAAAGAGATTCAAGAACAGAGAGCTGCACAGCCTCACCTCGGGGAAACTTGTCCTTCACCTTAAATATGTTCCTCTGCAGGATACCCCAAATACGCTGACCAAGCTGCTCACTAGTGTGAGGATTTACTAACACCTGAGCCAGGTTTGAGAGAACTTTCAAAACCTGTGGATTACCTGCGGTAACAGAATTTCAAAAATATGTGAGGTTTGTGATATTTCCAGGAATCTTCAACCAAGCTAAATTATCCATCGTCAGATTTAAAGTGATTCAGACTATGAAAAAGTGATATGAGAAAGGGTACTCTTATTTGATTTTCCTTGATTTCATGTCTCTTCATACAAAAAGATTTATAGAGACTGAAACCACCAAAAGCCTGAGTGCCAATTCACAAGATAATTGCACAATTATTAATCTAACTTGATGTTTACCTGGATTCTCATGTAGGAAAATCTCCAGCAACGAGAGAACCCGGAGCTTAAAAAGTACAAGCTGGGATTGCGCTGTTTCACCTCCAGCTTGATTTTTTCGTTCTTTGAAAATACGTGCCAAATAAGTATCCATCCTGAACATTGCGTCATCATCCATTCCACTATCAGAATCATCAGAATTCTCCGGAAGCTCGGAAATTCCAGTCTCAACTCCACCCACAGCCTCAGAGTCATCTGTGTGCTCATCAGTGTCACCTGTTTCACCTGTCTCAGATTCATCAGATTCCTCTGCTTCTTCAATATCAAGAAGATCATCTTCATCCTCATCATCATCTTCAGAACCACTATCCTGATGTCTGGCTGGTTTAAGATCTTTCTTAATGACCCGTAACATTCGCATTAATCCATCTTCAGTTATATCATTAGAGAAGTACTTGAAAACCTATAGGAAGTGATAAAATTCGTAATTAAATGAAATAAGTACCGAGGTTTCCTAAAGTAGGCTGAACATAAAGCTGAAAAAGAACACACATCAATGATCAAGCAGAAAAAGTACTGGAAGTGGAGGAATGTATAGTTCAAACCGAGCTATCAATGGAACTTCAAATCATTCTGCTTGTAATTGATTTGAAAACCATAAGAGATGCTAATCATCAGACCATAAGAGTTGATGCAAGCATATGCTAATACTCATGCACAAAAAGCCAAGTCAAACTCATGAAAAAGGTACAAAGGCATCATCATTTTAAGGAGCAAGTAGCATTGCACAAAATCAAAGTCCTTTATTTTAACAACCAATTCTAACACCAGTTGTGTGTATCTTAGGCATCACCTGATTGAAAAGGTTACATAATATCAAACTTTAGAATGTCAAAATGTCCAACACGTGCAAATGAATCCAATGTACCTGCTCGATGGCAGACCGGAGCGGAGCAGAAGACTGTGGCAGGAGTGAGAGCATTGTATCAACAAGTACATCCATTACGTCGGGTGCACCATCTTCATTCAAGTCATCTTCTCCAGAGGAGTCAATAATGTCAGAGGTGCCAAAAGATCTCTTACAGCATATAATAAGTTCAACTGAAGCCTCATGATATTCCCCAGGTCTAAGCAAAATTTGGAGCAGTAACTGGATAAGCAGGTACCTCAGAGCATGTAATTTGTTTGCATCTCTGCTCACCCCACAATTCCTCTCCTGTAATTGATGTAATTTAGAAATCAACATTTCATCAGCGGTCTCAACTTCAGAAGAGCTATCAGATTGCTAAAATATGCATTTTATGTAGGGAATGAGGAAGAAAACAGAATACCTCTCTTAATAACTGAGCTTCCATTGCAAGCAATTTCTTAAAGGCTTTTTCATCATCTTCATTCAAGGTCCTAAACAACGAAACTGAAGGAATGTTGCATAAAATACCAAGGAAATGCACGAAATAAGAACCAAGATCACTTGTTTCAGAGGCACCGGCTACAACACGGGGCCCTTCCCCTTTCTGAACATTTGCAAACAGTAGTTCTAGCTGTTCGATGCACGTCCTTGAAAGGGCACCAGAAATGGCTGATTTCGGCCATCTAAACTTTTCTTGTAATTCAAAGGAGGTTACTTCGGTACCAAGAGAGGAACAGAAAAGACCCTGAACTGCAAGAAACTTCAAAATTTCTTTTTGCACTCGGAACCTAGCCTCTGAATCTAGTTTAGAGAGTTTCGAAACAGAGGGGAGAGAATCAATAACCCAACTTTTCAGAAACTCGGAACTTCCTGTTACCCCAACAGATTCTTTATCTTCTACTGAACCTATCTCCGAGTTGTCATCAGTTGTCTGACTCTGATCAGAAGGTTCTTCTGAAGGATTTCTTTCATCAAGAAACATGTGCATTAACTCCTGAACAAACAATAAGCACCCAGATTCAGATTCGAATCCTGCCATCAAATCTTTAACCACCTTTGTCCGAGTTATGCTGTCAAATCTACCATTAGTATGCTTCTGTAGAGCCATAATAACAGCAATTCGTTTGGCTTCATCCACTTTCACCCATTCAATCAATTCCGTAAGAAAATGCTGGGCAACCTTGTGAAGCCAAGAATCTTTAGCAGACAGTACATCTACTAAACACTGGATAAATTTGTAAGACAGTACAATATGGATACATGAAGTGGGTAGCTTAGGAAATAACAGCAGTAGGATATCAAAAGCCAAATGTTTACGGTCATGAGATGATACTAGCAGTGACCCTTCAATAATAACTTCAACAAAGCATTGAAGATTCTTTCCAGTATCTTCCTCAGCTAAACTGCACTTGCGACCTTTTTTGTGCTTCTTACTTGAATTTGTTGGTGAGGCTAAATCTACATCCTGAGAGATCCTATCTGGTAAGAGAATGTTTACCAGAACAGGCCAGACACTATGAACACGAGGCTGACAAAATGTGGATTCCTACAACATACAACTTGATTAGTTAATATAATAAATTATTCAAATGATTCCATTTTCAAACAGTATTTACAAGAAAAGAACAAGATCAATCACCTTCAAGCAATTGGCAAGCAACGTAAGAGTATCAACAGAAAAAAGCTTGTTTGGGCTATATTCAGAAGGCAAAAGTTTGCCAAATATCGAATGATCAATGCCAATCTTCTCACGAATTTTAAGTGCAAGCAACAAGGCATCAGGATTCCCCCTTTCGGTTGCACTATCGAACCATTCTTGAAGTCCTGGAACTTCGAGAACATCGTCTACCAAAGCCTTGATGGGTAACTGAAATATCACAAGACATTCAAACTCAATAAATGTAAGACACTTCTACAAAAGAAAGGCGAGTAAATAAGGTTAAACTTTGAAAACCAAATTTTTTTTCCATGAAAGCATTATTCATTCAGAAAGCAGGAGAGCTTGAACTGCTTCACCAAATGGAACTACACGTCTGCACAAAATTAGACGCACCTTCTCAACCAATTCCAGAATAACTGAAACAGCAGGCTCTTGCAGGTACTGCTTCTTTGAGGCTAATGAAATGAGAGCACTGATAAATTCTTTGATGCATGAGGACTTTTTGTTTAAGTTCAAATCTGAAGTTAATCTTCCTGATCTTGCAAGGGCTGCATAAGCAAACAAACGACCCAGGAGACAGTCCCTTGCTTCCTGTACAAGAAATTTATGAATTGGAATTGAAATTAACAAAAGGATCCTTCTACTGGCCAAAAAAAAAAAAAGAAAAAGAAAGAAAGAAAGAAAAAGAGAGTGAAAGAGCGAAAAAAATAACACCAACCTGACCCTTCATCGATGAAGAAACTTCCAATAGATTAACAATTAGCTTCAACAATGAATCCACTTTGATAGAAGGAACTGCACCAACCAACATTGTCAAACCTAATGCAAAACCCTGTCTTGCACACTGCCAAAAAAAAAGAAAAAAACCTCATATTAGATAGAAGTTTTTCATACTCTACCATGCATGACTTGAGAGTAGTGCCAAATACATTTCAGCAGGTGTAGTTGTAATAACAGAAGATGTCAAACAGTGTACCAAGTGAAACCCAAGTTAACAGCAAAGCAGCTTAATTAGGTAAACCAAAACTGGTTACTAAGAAAGTGATGGGTAGTTTTGTCCAAACTGCTTATATGTGATGGCATATTACCAAATATTATTTGCTATATACTTTGCAAAGAAAGTAGCTCCTACAACATGTCAATGATTATACTGAGCAAGGTAAAAAAAGAAGAAAGTACCTCTCTTGAGGAAGAAACTCCGCGGACAAGCCTACGAACGGCATATCTAACAGAAGGGGCACAGTTATTTAATCCATCATCCTTTTGAGCTTCCAATTTCAACGTACCTTCAACTTCCTCCTTATTCTCAAGCTTATCGTATGCTTTCTGAACGGCCTGCAGCTCTGTGACCAATACCTCTGCGGCAGCTTCTCGAACCTTGGCATCTGCCAATGCCAGATCTTTAAACACCCCAATGTGGAACTCAGGCAACACACTATTACCAGAGCTAGTGCCAGAGGAGGATGCTTCCTCATTGCTTTTGGCAACATTTTCTTTAGCATCCAGCGCCATTTGAGTCACTTTATTATCACTACTGACCCCGGCATGGTGTTTCAATTTGTCAAGTGCTCTTCTTTTCTTCCGTCTCTCCATTGGCTTCTCAGAAACAGCGACATTGTTATTATGGGAGGTTGAAGGAACATCATCAGAATCGTTTTCTCTTTCCGGTTCCTTCCTCTTTTTTTCCTTTTTCAATTTCTTGTTCGAGGAATCTAAGCTAACAACATTTTTATCACCTATGCCAGAGTGTACTTGTACTTGTTCATCTACAGCCTCACCAACTACCTCAGATGAACTGGAAGCTCTCTTCTTAATCCCCATAAATTTCTTCCTCTGAACAAGTAAACATCAAGCGCAAACACAAACATAAGACGAATAAATCCTAAAAAAAAAAAAGATAAGCTGTCCAAAACTGTAGAAAAAGTAAAGTAATGAAAATTAGAAGCTCCTGGAACCCTCTTTTCTATAAGTGAACAATAACCAAAAGTCTCCTCTCCAAACTTCTTTAATTAGAATACGAACCTGAAAAAAAGGGATTCTTCAATCGATACAGGTCCGGTGACGCAGTTTCAGCTCCGGGATAATGGGATGTCGGCGAGGGAAAAATAACAGGTTGAAAAGCAGTGAATTTTGGGATGAACTCGACGAAATCAGAGGGAGTAGCAGTGATTGTGTGAAGGTGTGGCGGCGGTTCGCCTCCACTGCGGTGGCGGTGAGTAGAGTGCAAATGGCCGGAGAGAGGCGGGAAGAGGGAGAGAAAGGGGGTAGAAATAGAAAAACCTTTAAATTGATTTGGGGAGAAGAGCAGCCAAACAGCGACTCGAAGGAGATAGCCAAGAACCCTGGGCTTAAACCCTAGTGCTTAACGTTTAGTCGTTTAGGGGTTAAAAAAGTAATTGGAAAATTAAAATATTTTCTACAAACTTAGAATTTTTTTAATAATAAAATTTCATTAAAAATTAACAAATGTATTGTTTGCTACTACCTCCGGTCCTTAATATACGCCATTTGATTTGGATTAAGATTCACACATTACATATTTTTAATCAAGAAAAAAATCGTAAAAAGATTCATAATAATGAAGAGAAAACAACGAATATGAAAATACATATTTTAAAATTTTTTTCTCAATAAAAAATGTATAAAACTTAAAATAAATCAAAATGCCTTATGTTAAAAACCGGAAGAGTATTTAGCAATTTTAATCCTTTCACCCTCCAATTCTAAAGTTTGCTGTAAGTAATTTGTCGGCATCAGTTCCATAGAGGGTTTAAGAATAGCATTTCCTTCATGAGATCTTCAAAACTACCTTCATGAGTCAAAGCCCATCTCTTTTCAAAATTGAATTGCATTTCTTATCGATACCATGGTTCCCGTTCATCTTATCTTAAATTGGAACAATTATGCGGCAAAAAAACACACATCAAGCTGGTACATGCAATATAGATATATAGTAATGAATTGAATCGTACCAAGCCCAATTTGTGTTTTTTTGTTTCTATATTATCCTAATCTGAGCCTTAGTGAGTCCTACTAGAAAAAGGGCCGATAAATATGCACTTTCTAATTAATAAAGTCCAGGTAATCAAAGGTTCAAACTTCGTTATCGAGATTTCTTGAGCGAGGAGATGAGTAGTTGCCACAGGTAAACACCGGATAATATGAAAGAAAGAAAAAAAAAAATCCAGAGACCAATACCAAATAATACTGACAAAAAAGTTAACAGAACCTCTTTGCTTTGCCTATTGCCGTTTGTGTTTTGCAAAAATGAGTTTTTTTTTTTTTTTGGTCAGATTTGATGTTAAATTTGCAGGGAATTTGTCATGAAATTCAGCAAGAGTGTATTAGAGTTGAAATGTCCAATAAAGATGAAAATATTGATCGTTGATCTAGTTCCAATGTTGCTCCGGTACTTGCATTATCGAAGTAGCAGTGGTTACAAACTTTGGAGGTGGGCTAATATCCTTTTGCAAGGGATGAGAATTGAGAAATATATGGAGAATAGCAGTAAGTAATTAACGATAAGAAAGAAGTGTTTCAGAAACTTGTAGGTTTCTGGGTTCTACAGGTTTGATGCAGAACAAACAAGTTTCAAAGCCTTTTATATATTAGATCCGTAACAGCAACACTAAACTAGGAGATTAAAAAAATTGAAGTGATCCGCGATAACTTCTAATCCATTCCCATGATTCAATAACAAATCCCTCATCCCGAAATATTATTACATAAAAAGGATTAGTGGTGAAACAAAAATTCCTTTCAGAAATCTACTCATCGGCGTTTATGGATTCACAAAAGATCAAATTAGGAGTTCTACCACAGGGAAAGCTTTCGAGCTTAAATACAAATCTCCTTAAAATTAACTAGTATTGCAGACAAAAGATCTTAATGAACAAGACTCAAATTCTGCCTTTCATTCTTGACTCCTCTACTTCTTTACTTCTTCATATTCTGCTTCGGGTGCCTGGTCGCCACCCTGGTCGCCACCCTGGCCACCTGATCCCGACCCACCTTTCCCAGACATGTGTTCTCCAATCTTTGAGACGGCCTTGTTTGCAGCATCGATCTTGGCTTTAATGTTGTCAACACTGTCGCCCGTTGTGGACTCTCTCAATTCACGCACAGCTGTCTCTATCTCAGAAGCCACTTCTGCTGGAATTTTGTCCCTGTATTCATTCAAGCTATTCTCAACACTGTAGGCTGTGCTATCAGCTTGGTTCTTGACTTCAATCAATGCCTTTCTCTCTTGATCCATTTGTGCATGCAGCTCAGCTTCCTTGAGCATCTTCTCAATCTCAGATTCTGATAATCCGCCGGACGAACGAATAGTGATCTGTTGTGCCCTACCAGTGGTCTTGTCCTTTGCAGAAACCGTAACAATGCCATTGGCATCAATGTCAAATGTGACTTCAATTTGTGGGGTGCCCCTCATGGCAGGAGGAATACCTGTCAGCTCGAACTCACCAAGGAGCTTGTTATCAGATGCCATCTCACGCTCTCCTTGCAATACTTTAATGCCGACCTGAGTTTGGTTGTCAGCAGCAGTTGAAAACACCTGCAATTAATGCGAAAAACGCCCCAGTTTAGCACAACAATTCAGGCAGGGGGAAAAAAAAAGCACACTAGGTTGCATAAAGATAGATTCCATGCAAAGAACTACACCCCTAAAACATCAAACTTCAGACAAAGCGCGGTCAATAATGCTCAAAAGATCCTGAACTCACCGAGCTTTTCTTTGTAGGAATGGTAGTGTTCCTGTTGATCAGCCTAGTAAATACACCTCCTAGTGTCTCAATACCAAGAGACAGTGGAGTGACATCCAGAAGCAGAAGCTCCTTCACATCACCACGGAGGATACCTCCCTGAATAGCAGCTCCCATGGCTACTGCCTCATCAGGGTTCACACCTTTACTTGGGGACTTACCGAAAAGCTCCGCAACAACTTCCTGCACCTTTGGAACACGGGTCATACCTCCAACTAACAGTACCTCATCAACCTGCTTAGTAGTGATACCAGCATCCTTCAAACAATTCTTGCAAGGATCTCTAGTCCTCTCAATTAAGTGATTGACTAGACTCTCAAACTTTGATCTGGTCAATGTGATATTCAAATGCTTTGCACCACTAGCATCAGCAGTAATAAATGGCAGATTAATTTCGGTCTGGGCTGTTGATGAGAGTTCTACTTTAGCTTTCTCAGCTGCTTCCCGAAGTCTTTGGAGGGCAAGTCTATCTTTGGTCAGGTCAATGGCATCAGTTCTCTTAAATTCAGCAACCAAATATTCCAACAAAGCATTATCAAAGTCCTCTCCTCCCAAAAAGGTGTCACCATTTGTTGCTTTAACCTGCATAAGAAAATTTTCAGTACCAACTTTTATATAAATTACAAAAAGCAGAAAATATAATAGAAGCTGCATGAAATCACCTCAAATACACCGTTAGCAATCTCCAAAATGGAAATATCAAAAGTGCCACCACCAAGGTCAAAGACAGCAATTAGACCCTCTTTGTTGCTGGAACCATATGAAAGGGCAGCAGCAGTAGGCTCGTTGATAATTCTCTGGACATCAAGACCTGCAATGCGCCCAGCATCCTTAGTAGCTTGCCTTTGGGCATCATTGAAATAAGCTGGGACTGTAATCACAGCTTTGTTTACTTGCTTGCCCAGGTAAGCCTCAGCAGTTTCCCTCATTTTTGTAAGCACAAAGGCTCCAACTTGGCTAGGAGAATACTGCTTTCCATTAGCCTCAACCCAGGCATCCCCATTGGGAGCCCTAACAATTTTATATGGAACCATCTTCATTTCCTGCTGCACCTGAGGATCATCAAAACGTCTACCAATAAGACGCTTGATCCCAAACAAAGTGTTGGTTGGATTGGTGACGGCCTGACGTTTGGCTGGTGTACCAACAAGCAATTCTCCTTTCTGGTTGATGGAAACAACCGACGGAGTGGTTCGAGAACCTTCAGAGTTCTCAATTACTTTTGGATTCTGCAAGAGACCACAAATTTCAGGCGATACAAAACCATATATAACCTGTCCTGTTATATCATATCATTCAAAAGCAAAAGGGAAAATTACCTTGCCCTCCATGATAGCAACACAAGAGTTTGTGGTCCCAAGGTCTATGCCAATGACTTCATTTCCAACTCCTTGTGTGCTGAAATTAGGATTATGGAGTTATAAAACAGTTGGTAAGCGACTATGGCTTAAGCAGAAACGTCAATTCTGATAAGTAAAATACCTGAATGGTCTAGCAAGTCTACCAAGACTTGAAGGTGCAGAAACCCATGATGGTTTGGCATTTCCAACGAACTGCAGAAGTGTCAAAAGATGTGTGGTTAACACGAGCTAAAGGCATAACAAATAACTACAACCTAAGAGGCCTCATTTCTCCAATAAATCACCAGGGGGGCTCTGAGCTTCAAATTCAAATATGAAGAACAAGAAAAAGCACCCAAAAGGACAAGCTACAAAAAAATGTACTACTGGTATCATCTCCGGGATTCAGCACAGATTTGATTGTGCAATTAATTATTGGCATAAAAATCAGACCTTTCTATTAAACCACATCCTAACACTGATAGAGCTCTATTTGCAGAAGAGAAAAGCTACAAGCACTAACCTGCTCAAAATAAATAATCACACACACATCCGAGGAAAAAGAGTTAACAAAAGCAACAAAAAACCCCCAGTAAGTTGCAATTGGACAGCACAAAATTCCATCTCAACTATCTGGACAATCACAAACTAAAACCTCATTGAAAAACCACAATTGATCATCAAAAGAATGTTTCATAACCTTTCAACTCAGCCTCGAAATCATGAAAAATCACCCAAAGTAGAACCGTCGGATTAAAAAAAAAAAAAAGCTTGCGAAGCTAAACAGGCGACTACGAAATTGACAGCAAAGGCAACAAAGCACAAAACAAAAAGAAACCAAAAAAAAAAAAAAATCAAACGAAACCACGAAAACGAACAGGCGTAAGAAAAAGGAAAATTTAACAAACATCAAAGGCGAACAGCGGAAACCGATTAATCGGTAAAAGAGAGAAGAAGTGTACCGATTTATAAGCAGAAAGAGAAGAGGTAGCCAGATCCCGGCGACGGAAAGATCTGAGTAAAACGGCGGCGGCAGCCATTGAGAACAGAACAACGGGTGGTTTTTCCGGATGGATTTTACTCGGTTCTTTTTTCTCTTAAAATCTGGGTGGCTTTCTTGGAGGAGGGGAAATTAGGGTTTTAGGGTTTAAGAGACAGAAGAGTATTGAAGTACTGAAATGAGGTGGGGGCGGTTAAATAATTAAATATACTCTAAACCGAAGTTTCGAGCGACAGTGTTGCAAACCGGGAGTTTGTGGTTGTTACTCTGATAGCGTCGAACATTCCAGACCCACGACTTGCTTTTGTAATTCTTTTTTTTTTTTTTTCATTGTTGAAAAAGAAAACAGATTATGGGCTTAAAAGCGGCCCCTGCAATATTGGGCTGGATAGAGTCTGGATTTTCGTTTTGGTTACATTTTGATTTATCTTCCTTTTTATTACTGTATTGTATGTTTTTTGGAGGTTACAAATTGTCGGTGAAGAACCAAATATTACCGCTAGCCGTAGCCGGGTGGAAGAAATAATCTCATCCTCAAATGCCCAAGTTTTTAGTACTTTTTAGCTGCAAAATCGATGTATTATGAATGATATAAAAAGGGTAGATAGAACCTAGAAATCTTGATTTCGTCAGTAACCAACAGCATGCGACACAGCCAAGAACATGGGTCTTCAACGATGTGTTTTGCTTACTGATAACTTGTTTATAGCTACTTTGAAAGACAAGGGATGCAGGACTCCTGATCTCCAGTTTCTAGTTGATGATCTCATAGATATGTCCATTAGTTTTTTGTATTGTCAGTTTAGAACGATAGAAAGAGTAATCAAAGTGGTTGTGGTGGAGCGGAAGGGACTCTTCCACCCTTAACTATAAGTCGAGCGTTCGAATCTAGGCATAAGCATAGAACAACCTTAAATACTTTGACCAACAATTCTAAAAAAAAAAAACAGCATGCAACACTTTCAGTTACGGTTATCAATGATTGCCATGAAAGTCATTCATACCTCTACCACTTTGAATGGCAAGATATTACAAAAAAAAAAAAAAGACGCATATCCCCTACTTGGGTTCAAACGACTTCGAACAACTCTTGATGAAATGAGACAATATGAACTGACAAGGAAGTTGTGATCATTTAAAGTGTACAGTTAAAAGTCCCAATTACCAATGAGATTGTTTAAACAGAACTCAATCTGTACAAGCTCCTTACAGCTTCGTATGAAGAGATGGTTTGAATCAAACAAATAAGCAGTCCTAAAAGAAAATAAAAAGAATAAGTTTGGGTAACCACCAAGAGCCAACTACATGGCCTCTAAGACCTAACTGTAAATATGAGGTATGAACACTTATCCCTGAATAAGTACCGAATCATTTTCAACTGTGCCCAAAATGCTCCTTGCACAAACCTGGCCAAATAAGAAAGAGCCCAAACAATTCTGCAAGGAGGAGAAACTAGAATAACCTCAAAAACCAAACCAAAATTCCAGTCCGGAAAGGTGTTTCTTGTTAGCAATGTTCATTTATCTCATAGCCGAAGGTAGCCTCCTCTTTCAGATCTTTCGCTGATTGGCAAGGTTCTTCTGAGGAATGATCTCCGGTTGACAGACCAACTTCTTCTTATACTTTGCCTTCTACGCCAAGCTACTATTCGACTGTAAGCTGCCGGGAACAAGAAGCATAAGAGAAGGAGGAGCAACATAGCTAAACAGATCAATATCACATTACGGAACCCATCCTTCAGCTCTGGCTTATTTTGCCCCGTCCATGGAACTCCTCCAACATTCATCCCAAACACTATCAAAAACAACCCAAAGAGTTTGTTACTACTAGATTCACTCATCCACACGACAAGGATTCCAGGGAAGAAAAGATAGAATAAAACTCAGCATATAATATTTACCTCCAGTTATTATTGATAAAGGGAGAAATATGATAGAGAGGAATGAGAGGTAATACAATTTTCTATTTATTTGCTCGGCCTGCCAGCTATCAAGACCTGCTTGAATGGCGGTAACGCGATTAGCTATGAAACCAACATTCTCCTTCAGCCTCCGCAAGCGCCCAACAAGCTCTTCAAGTGAATTGATGTCTTCACTAGCAAACCAATCTTTTGCGGCACACTTTTCCTTCACACGGGGAAATACTTGTTCACCATTGGCAATTACCTGTCATTTTGGTTAAAAATCATGAAAACAAATGCTAAATAAGTCTTAAATGGCATAAACTGGAAATTTTTGCATGACAAATTTAACCATTGCTTTAAATAAATAGTACAAGCAATAAAATCTCTGTAAATCTTAGTGAGACAAAATTACAAGCATCTCAAGGAATTAATCTCTTTGACATCCATTTCCTCTCTATGAGCAGTGAAAATGCATGGATATCAAATCTATTTGAGCCAGCTATAATATAAACCATCCCATGTCTGAATTACCTCATTGAAAACAAATTGAGAAAGAGCTTTAATACTTCCAACAAGGCACCCAAATTTTTTACTGATTGAAAAGAGTAAGCATCAACTTAACCCAATGCCCCCTATATAATCTAAGTTCGGACTTGATCTGATAATACTTGATACATGAAATCCTGGTTTCCTCTCCCTTCACCTCTCTGTATAGGTCGATCCAACTTTTCAAAACCATAGAGTATTACAAAATTAACAAAACCAAAGGTACCTACCTGAAGTAAACGCTGCAGGTCTAGATGCATTTTAGGGAATTTTCTATCATCAAGCATCTGTTTCTTCAAAGCAAAACCACCTACCACATTGAAAGAGGTTGTACATGAACAAAACAGGTGACAGAATTTTCATAAACAACACAAGTTAATTGTGGGCTAAAAGAGCTCTGCTGAAGTTGCTACTAAAGAAGTTACAACAGTCTTGCATTCTCTGTTTGGTTCATTTCAACAATGTGAAATGGAGCTCCTTGTAAGAGATAGAATTAGCCTTCCCTCAGAAGTATCCAAATTGGGTCATTTGTCCGAGAAATTATCAAAGATCATAGCTCCAGAATTAGAGAACTAATTATCAAAATCATCAACATTAAACAGAACGATTTGCAAGAAAATCTCAAGGACATTATGCCTTTAGCTTTTATTAGTCAAAACAAGCTCAATAAGATGCTGCTATATTCAACAAAAACTGGAATCCGAAGCAGAAGTTAAACATAACTCAGTAAATGATGCAAATTAGAGATTAAATGACACAATTGGAAACAAAATCTGTAACAGGAAGCCCAATTCAAATTTTTTTTTCTTTTTCTTCTTTTATTTTTGAAAAAAAAAAAAACAGGCCCAAAGGATTTTAATGCACACCATAGCCTTAGAATTGTATCCTAAAGATGTAGTAGTCCTCATTAAGCGGAGAGAACATGAAATAAAATCAAATTCAATAAATAAATCCCTTAAGCAAGATACTCCTCAACAGTCAATGACCCTCAAAATCTTTATCTAGCTGCCAAGCAATGTAGCTAAAGAACTCATGCCCTTGCATAACATACCTTTATCCAATTCTAGCTCCACTGCATCCAACTCAATCTCAAGGTTCGTCACAACGTCTTGAAGTTGATCCACATGTGTGTCAATGATGTGAACAACAAGATTAGAGATAGATAAAGGCACTGGATTATCAGCTTCCTCGGAGTGATTCATAGTAAGAAGAAAATCAAGAACATGCTCTTGGATCACTATCCCATCCCGCTCTTTTGGTTCACCTCGCCTGTAACTAGGAGTTTCGACAGCAGGAATCTCAGAAAGGAGAGATTCGTTTGTCGGCTGAAAACCCAGTCTTGGAACACGACCTAAAGACACAGTTATAACTGAATTTTGAGTAACTCTTGCGGCTATCCTAAATGTGAATTTGCTAGAGGCAGGACCGGGCGAGTTAACCCTAAATACAAGAGCCCCATCCACATGACCACAAAAGGGTCCATTACTAACGAGTGAGAGTATATCCTGCAACTTGAGAGGAGGGCAAAGTACGTCAATCAAATATTGCGCAGACTGGGAGAGTTTCTGATTCCCTTTTGGAAGCTCAACATGAAACCAACAGAACTCCTTACCCCTACCTTCTAAAAGATCCCATTCTTTATTGTAGAAATTCCCTTCACCATCGAAAATGTAAGCTTTCTTCCTCACAGCACCAGGATACCTTATACTATCGAAACGGTTCGCACTAAGACGCATAGGAGATGATGATTCCCCATCCACTTCCTCTAGTTCTCTATCTCCATTCATTTCTACTCCAGTAAGCTCCATATGCTACCTAAACTAATAAACAAACGGGGGCCTTAAACAGATTAATGCTCTTGTGCAGTTTCAAAGAACATTCACCAACTCCCCCAGATTTTTAACCTATTAACTCTTTGAAGTCTAAATTCTTGCATCCATATTAATAAAACAATCACACGTTGAAAAGCAAATCAACAATCAATCCCACCAACATCCACTAGAAAAAGAGCTGCAGAATTCCTAACTCAAGTAAAACTCTTTCTGTTCTACCAACTTTGCAAATTAGATTCTATCAAAACGTATCAACAACAACAATATTTTCATTTACACCGAACTGAAAGCAAGCCTTTACCTTGAATCCTCGATCGCAGAATCAGTCAAAATAAGCACCCCGGCTCTCGAGGAAAAAAAAAAAAAGAACAGCAGTTTTAGGCTTTTAGCCGGGTAAGAAAAAAAAAATCCACAAAAGGTGCCCAGAAAACTGCCACTTTGAATGGGGATTCCTTTCTATCCAATGTCAAACGACAATGGTAATAAGGGAGGACGATACAAAAGAATAGACCAAATCAAGAACGACAATGACATCAGACGATTTCTCGTTTGTGATTTCAGGAGGGTTTCCTTGAAGCTTCTTCCTCCACCATAATATACTCTGGAATACAATTTTTATTTTTAATTTTTTTTGAATTTTTTAATCTGCAACTTGTTTGCGAGTCCTTTGAAAAAGAAGAAAGATAATGATTTCAATTTTGAAAATTATATTAATCATAGGCAAAGCGTATAGTTCTTGGATTTAATGTTTTTCTACTCCTCATTAAACTCGGATTAAAGATTAATAGTTGTTGTTTTAGAAGCCTTTTAGTTTTAGGCGAAAAAAAAAAAAAAAAAGATTGTTCGTTGTTGTTGATAGGTTCGGTATGATTCCTAGAAAAGAAAGATAGAAAATGTATTTTAGAAAACCCACAAAAAGAAAAAAGTTCAAAACCAAATGAAAAATTGGGCCTGGAATTTGTTTTATTTCTGTTTTGATTCGGGACTAAAGGTAGATAAAAGCCCAAATAAAAAAGAGACTTTGATTAAGCTGCAAACTAGTATTACGAAACAACACTTGCTTATGCTTTGGTTTCTTTAAACGAAATTTCAGTGTGAATAGGAAGAGTAATATTGGGAGAGGTTTAAGATTTTGTTTGTTTCATTTAAATTTGATGGTTTTTTAAAATTAATATATTAATAATTGTCCTCATCCCAACATACATTTTTACATTTCCAATACACCTTTTTACATTGTTAATACAAAAAACACGTAAAAAACACACTCTAAACAAACAAAACAAACATACCCAAGACTTCCCCACACTCTGTGCGGATTAGTCTGAGTGTAAAAAGCACTTGGAACACCGTGTGTATATGAAAAAAAAAAAGAAAAAAAATTATTATAAAATCTAAAGAAAAAAAAACTATTATAAACTCCAAAGTGGAGTTGGTTAAAACTTCGAATTTCTCTCGAAGAGTCGTTGGTGGACGTGTAATAAATCAATTAAAATTCGGCATTGTTCCTGAGTACCTAAAAAATCCTGAAGCCAATGTCGATAAGCGACCTTCCTGGGGAATTATTAGCTGAAGTCCTGGCAAAGATCCCTGCGAAATCACTCTTGAAACTTGGATACGTATCAAAATCATGGAAATCTCTTATCGATAGCCCAGAGTTTGTGAAATTTCACTTGAATCGTGGCCATTCATTACCAATGCCCGCAGATAGACCCATTAGGCTAATATTACTTGCAAATTCTCTCTCTGATGGACTCAAATATTACGCTGCGGAATTCGATTCCCCTGAGAAGGTAATAACTTCTATGGTTGAGTTGGAGCTCGGTAATTACTCTTTTACCGCCGATCAGTTTGCGGAACGCACAACTCGTCTTATTGGCTCTTGCAATGGATTAGTATGTATAGCTTTTCGCAAAGCTGAGGTTGCGTTATGGAATCCAAGTATTCGCGATTTTCGGGTTTTGCCTTATTCCCCTCCAGTACTCCTTCCCGACGATGATACTAATAATGGCGCGGACAATTTTTATCCGATTTCGTATGGTTTTGGGTACGATGATATTTCCGATGATTATAAAGTGATTCGGGTAGCTAACAATTTTGATGACCATCCTGCTGTTATTACAAGTACAAAACGAAAGTGGCAAGAAGTTAAGGTTTATAACCTTAAGTCCGATTCTTGGAAGACTCTTTCAGATTTTCCACATGTCATTTGCCTTGCTGCTCATAAATATGGAGCTGCATTTGTCAACCATGCTCTACATTGGACGGTGGATGAGGATAGAGTACTCTCCGGCGACAATTCACCCCGGGATAATTATGAATTTTCGATTGCTGCAATTGACTTGAGAACAGAAAAATTCTACATGGTTCCGCCACCTCCGGGCATATCTATGAAATGCCTTTGGGTTATGGGAGTTTTGGGTGGTTGTCTTACTTTGCATTTGAGAACCACAATGGATTTATGGATAATGAAGGATTATGGGTTGAAGGATTCTTGGACGAGATTGACTTTGAATGTTGGAAAATTGTTTCATCCCGAGTTCTTCGTACATCCACGCGGAGTTACTACTACTGATCATAAGGAGCTCATTGTTAAGGATTACAGTGGATTTGTTTGGTGTAACATTAACAAGCACACGATTAAGAAGAAGGAAGAGTATAAGGATTGCTGGAATGGAGGCTCTTTCAGATTTGGGTGTGTTTCTATTGCATTCGGGTGTGAATTAGTTGACAGTCTTGTCAGACCTCGGCCTTCTTCTGGGTGCAATAAGAATAAATAAAATGAATACTTTCTCTGTCCCAAAAAAATAGTTCACTTTATCTTTTATATTGTTTAATATAAACTATTTTTTGGGATAAAGAGAGTATTTTTCAATCCATTAGTCTAGTCTTACTAAATTACGAATAATACTCAAATAAAGTATGGTATTTATTTTTTAATATTCAATTCTTGTAAGTATCTGAGCTATTATACGTGGAGTGGAGTGTGTGGGAGATGGAATTTTTGGCCTAATCATCAAGTAATCTCTCAATGGACTTTTGGCCTAATCAGTTTGACTTGTAACAGCACCTTGTTAATTGATCAAACACACAAATGTTGATTGGATAACTTCATTTTCAGTCCATCACTGATGAATTGTGAGATTTTAATATTGTTGACTTACATTTACAGCCTTGCGAATGGAACCCATGAAAAAGCTGTCGATTGAGATGTGTGCATCCTCCGCCTTTATTCTTTTGTTTACTAATAAAGTATTATAATTTGGTTTAATTTTATAATACTTGTTAACCTGTAAGATTAGTTTAGGATTCATTTTCTGCAAGGACGTCAGATGTACAAGCCCGTAACGAATAATTTATTATTGTAAATTAGAAATGGCGTCAATGAATACTTGATGAAATTAGATAACGAAACTAATGAATACCACGGTGACCAATATTATTCCAAGAGATGTAGAGAACAAGTCAAATAAACATATTTTATGGAATCTGAATGCGTAAGGGACCGGTGGTTTTAGGGAGGGTAATCACAAATTACGATGATTAATCAGTTAGTACAAACTTATTAATCAATGATGAAGACTTATGATCTTATCCAAATGCAACTTATAGTACAAATCATGTTTTTTTTTTTTTTTTGGCATAAAATATGTTCTAACTTCTTACACAAAACTCTTATGTTACAGCCTTTCCCGTAATTTTTAGAATCGCATTCAGTTAAAAAATACATAACTAAATCAAGAAATGTAGTTCAGCTTCAGCAGTAAGAGGTCATTCTTGATCAACCAGAGTCGAACGTTGAGTCGGCTTTAAAATATTTGCTACGTTATTATATGCTCGCAATTCAGTTTAGTGTCACCACAGTTAGATATGTTTAAAAATATCCCCAAAAAAAAAAGAAAAAAAAACACCAAACTAATATTAGGATCCATGTAATACTAAAGTTGGAAAAAGAATTTGATAGCTACAGCCTACAATTAATAATGATGAATGTTACATATCAAATGAATATTAATGACATAGTTGAGGTGGGAACAGCTAAAACATTCAAAACAATTATTTGGTCACAAATGCTGAAAAGAAGTGATAGGGATCACATCACATGTAGATGGCGTAAAAGGAACAACATTGGTAGAATCTTTTGAGCACAGACAGATTCTGGATCTTCATTAAAAAAAATCTTGGTCAACCTTTTCGGGTTCTTTCCTTTTACACCATTGTCCGGACGAAAATGAAATAATATAACATGCTTGGTCCATCCCATCATCTTGTTGTGCTTTGTTTTAGATTTTTAGCTCTAAATTTCTAATCTTTCAGATCCAGAGTTCCGGGTTCAAATAATTTTTTTTTTACAACAACAACAACAAGCCTTTTTCACACTAGGTGGGGTCGGCTATATGGATCATATGTCGCTATCGTGTACGATCGGTACACAACTCATCGGACAAATTTAAAAATTTCAAATCGTTTTTTATTGTTTCTTTCCATGTTTTCTTAGGTCTACCCCTACCCCTTTTAATTTGAAATCTTGATTCTATAGCCTCTACCCTCCTAACCGGAGCCTCTACCGGTCTCCTACGCACATGCCCAAACCATCTTAAACGGTTTTCTCTCATTTTTTCGTCTATTGGAGCTACCCCTACTTTCTCTCTAATATCATCATTTCTAATCCTATCTAGTCTAGTATGCCCACACATCCATCTTAACATTCTCATCTCCGCTACTTTCATTTTTTGCTCATTTTCATATTTAGTGGCCCAACACTCGGATCCATAAAGCATCGCCAGTCGAATGGCCGTTCTATAGAACTTACCTTTCAAACTCAATGGTACTTTACGATCACAAAGTATTGACGAGGCACTACGCCATTTATTCCACCCGGTTTGGATTCTATGTGTTACATCTTTATCAATATTTCCATTTCCTTCTATAATGGATCCTAAATATTTAAAACTTTTAGATGTGTTCACTTCATGTTCTCCTATCTTAACATTTACCATACTATTACTCCTACGGTTACTAAAATGACATTCCATATATTCCGTTTTAGCCCTACTAATTGTAAAACCTTTAGATTCTAACGCCGCCCTCCAAGTCTCTAACTTGGCATTAACCCCCTCCCTTGTTTCATCTATTAGAACTATGTCATCCGCAAATAACATGCATTCGGGGATGACAACTTGCAAGTGATTAGTGATTTCATCAATTACTAACGCAAAAAGATACGGGCTCAACGTCGATCCTTGATGCAAACCCACTTTGATGGGAAACTCTCCCGAAATTCCTACGGGAGTCCTCACACAAGTTGTTGCATTATCATACATGTCTTTTATTATTTCTATATATCCTACTCTCACTCCCCTCTTTTCTAACACCCTCCACATTACATCTCTTTATTGCATTTATTCCCTTTTGAGATTCCTAGTTCTTTTTTAGCAATTGCTCTTATTTCTTTAGTTACCCTTTCCCAAGTTTTATTAGATTCCTTTTCCATGTTCCAATTAACTTTTTCAAGTAACGTCTTAGTAAACCTATCTTTTTTATCTTTGTTATTAAGGTTCCACCATTTTATCCTAGGTATGTTAGGTATTTTTCTCTTACATATGTTAGTTTTAATTCTTAAATCTAGGACCAACAACCTATGTTGAGTTGTTATACACTCTCCCGGTATCACCTTACAATCTTTACAAAGTTTTTTATCACTCTTCTTAGTTAGAAAGTAATCAATTTGTGATTTGTTAGAGCCACATTTATATGTAATCAAGTGTTCATCCCTTTTTTTAAACAAGGTGTTACCTATGACAAAGTCATATGCCACCGAAAAGTCCAATATAGTTTTACCTTCAATATTTTGTACCCCAAAACCATAACCCCCATGAACCCTCTCATATTCATCATTTTCCCTTCCTACATGTCCATTTAAATCCTCACCTATAAAGATTTTTTCATTTTGAGGGATTGATTGGATCAAGGACTCCAAATCATCCCAAAATTTTGTTTTAGTGGCTTCGTCTAATCCTACTTGAGGTGCATACGCACTAATTATGTTCATGGCCTCATTTCCTATTATAATTTTTAAGGTTATTAATCTATCCCCCTTTCTAACCACCCCTACTACTTGGTCTATGAATAATGAATCCACTATAATACCTACCCCATTCCTATTCCTATCTTTCCCGCTATACCAAAGTTTGTACCCCGTGTTATCAAGAATTTTGGCCTTTTCACCTACCCATTTGGTTTCTTGCAAACACATTATATTTACCCTCCTTCTTCTCATACATTCTACTAGTTCTAGAGATTTACTTGTTAAAGACCCTATGTTCCAACTCCCTAACCTACAAGTCTTATTATTTCCATGCTTATTCTTAGGTTGTTTTCTACATTGGGCATTTTTCCTAGTTCCCACTACTCCCACGCCCTTATGAGAGTATAGTGGTCCTTGCCAAGAAGGGAAAGATTTAACTTGTAATGCTTTCTTGGCGTACGGGGCCTCATGCACATTTTGCACTACACCCAAGTCCCCATGGAGATATAGCGGTCCTTGCCAAGACGACGCAGTCGGACCCTGCGGCGCGCCACGTACAACGGGTGGCGTCCTAACATTTACACGATTTCTTATATGATCCATATTCATGAGAATGGCGGGGTTTTTTGTTGCTGGCTGCCAACCTAACGCAAACCCTCCTCCTTTACACTGGCTTGGGACAGTCAACGATAAACTCTAGAGAACTAAAGAACTCTAGAGTTTACCGCAGGCGGAGTTCAAATAATTTTTTTTTTTTAAAAAAAAATTCATATGAGTGGTGATGAGCATACAATAAACAGTATCAAAGAAAATTCAAAAGAAATTATGTGGCTAGAACCATCTATTTAGATTTTGGATGGGAAAGCCTGCGAACGTAAATGATTCATCCACATTGTTCGTTACAAGTTTCTTTTATGATGCATTTTCATTGTCCACATTATTGGTCATGTGTAATTGTAATAACGTTGGTAGTTTGGATATCAAAGTTAATTGATTGTGTATTCGAAGTTATAACGGATTATTTGATATCCTGTTGACAGTTCCCAGTAATTAATGGGGATTATTGTAATTAGCAGTCTTCCATTAGGAGTTAACTGTAGATCGAATATGGCATTACTAGAGTATTTCATCCTTTAGTTGTTTTAGTTTGAAATTTTAGACATTACTCTTATTTTGCCAAAAAAAAAAAAATGTATTCATTGTTTCCACGTACCGCCTCCATATTTAATATTATTTCCATATTATACAAGTAGTCAACATTATATTTTATGAATTATGCTATTATTATTGTAATTTACGAACTATAATATGAATTTTTTTTTTGGACAGAAAGAATAATAGATTAATAATGGTATTTCATTACCTATCCAGATGAGAAATATAATCTTAACTATTAATGCTCTATGATACCTCAACTACATTGTCTAAGAAAATTTCTCTATCCTAAGGCAAAAATAAATAAATAAATAAAATAATAAGAGGTTATTGAACAGAATTTATATAGCAAAATTTTGGCAACTATTTATGTAAAAAAGAAAAACACATTAAAAATACGTTTCAAACACAATCTACATATGTAGTGATCAGGAAAAAAATAAAATGTTCACAACTCCCTCACAACTTATAAATTTGTTGACAAGTGATTAATCATTTCCTCCAGAAGAATATTTTAACATTGCATTTGTAAAACAATATGGTAAAAGATGTTTTCATTATATTGGAAAAAATTGATTCAAGAGATGGTCATATATA